CTCTCTCTCTCTCTCTCTCTCTCTCTCTCTCTCTCTCTCTCTCTCTCTCTCTCTCTCTCTCTCTCTCTCTCTCTCTCTCTCTCTCTCTCTCTCTCTCTGTGCTTGTGTTTTTCTCTCTCGATATGTCTATCCATCCATCTCCAACTATGTCTGTGTTCGATTCTGTGTACGTTGACATTGATGGCTGCGATTATTTCTCTGGTTGCAGTTGAACAGCACATGCACATGCCCTGCTCACGTCATTCTCCTCCACGCACGCGCCCCGACCCCTCCCTCGCCCTCCCCTCTTTCCCAATCCTTGGTGGCAGTTGATGAAGCGTTTGCTTGCTGGCCGCGCAACACTGCTGCACCGCTTCTCGCTCTTCCTTGCGCTCATCAGTCTCTTCTCCGGTGCTGGCGTGGCTGCATATCAGGTGGGACGCACCACCACATCATGTGCTTTGTATCTTGTTCACGCGCACACGCAATGACTGTCATGTCCTTGCTTGAATTGTTCCCCTCCCTCACCCAACGCACACACACACACGCACGCACGCACGCACACACACACACGCACACACGTGTCATTCTGCCTTCTTCGGTGGCGTGGCGTTGCAGCATCATCTGCACAAGCTTGGCCACAACACATTTGCAGTCCTCTTCTTCATCCTCGCCATGATCCACGTGGGCATCGACAACTTCATCGAGCGCAAGTACAAGCTGTACTCCAGACTCGCGCGCACCGTTCGCTTGGTGTTCGTGGCGCTGATTGCAGTGTCTGTGGTTGTGTTTCTGACATTTCTGCGCATGAGCGGGGATATGGACTCGCCCCAGCGCGACCACAACCTCCTCTTCATTGCTGCCGTCGCTGAGCTTGCTGCCTTTGGCTTCCTCCTCCTCTACTTCCTCACCCTCCTGCCCAACTTCAACAAGACCCGCCTGTACATTGTGCTCGTTGAGCGACGGGCCACCACCATCCTGGAACCGTTCCGCGTGGATGCGTTTCTCACCACCGACCACCGCGTGACGGCGAGCGGTCGCCGCCTCCTCCGCAAGACGTCTCAGCGGCTCAGGCGCTTCCGCTCATCCGCGCTCCCCACTGTCGACATGAACGGCATTGTGCCCCGCCTGCAGCAGTTTGTGGGCGCCACGCCTCGGCGACGGAGGGCAAAGGCCGAGTAGCACTTGCAAGTGTGTGTGTGTGTGTGTGTGTGTGTGTGTGTGTGTGTGTGTGTGTGTGTGTGTGTGTGTGTGTGTGTGTGTGTGTGTGTGTGTGTGTGTGTGTGTGTGTGTGTGTGCTGCATCCCTTTCTCGTTGCGGCTCTCTTGCCTCCTTGCTTCCGGTAACTCACCCTTTAACTTATTTTGAACCAAATTGATGTCACAACATAATCGAGCGTGTGTGATGCCGTTGTTTCAGAAGAGTGTTTGTATTGAATGAAGCACGCAATGAACAAAACATCACAGACGTATGTTGAGCCAGCAGACCACATCACACATCACATGGCAGCAGCGGATGGGCGTAACAGATGTGACAGGGAGCCAGAGGGTGCGAGAACGCATGCAAACACAACATCACACGCGAATTCCGCTTGCTTGTCGTTGTGGTCAAGTCAAGCAAGGGAGACAACAAGCTTCTGGCCAGAGACCTTGTGGTTGGCGAGCATGTCCAGGCCCTCCACAACCTTGTCCAGACCATTGAGAACAGTCAGGTGTGGCGGCTTGACCACACCGGTGCTGATGAGCTTCTCGTACTCCTGGATGTCCTTGGCCAACGCCGCGTACTTCTCGGCGGAGTGTGGAAGGTAGATGTCACCAAGCATTGTCGTCTCAAACGTCACGTTCTTCGTCTCCTTGCTCAGCGCGCCGGCACAGCTTGACACCATGCACGGCTGTGTCGTATTCAGCGCAGACGCAGCCTCATCCACCTTGCCAACGGCATCAAACGCCAGCGTGAGCGTGTCGTTGCACGCTGCCTTGATGTCATCAATGACGCTTGCAGAGTGGTAGTCAAACACGGCGTCCGCGCCGTAAGTCTTGACAAGCTCAAAGTTGCGCTTGCTCGCGGTGGCCACAACCTTCAGCCCGCATGCCTTGGCGAGCTGGACACAGAAGAGCCCAACCACGCTGGAGGCTCCCCACACGAGCAGCCACTTGTCCTCGAGCCCAGAGGCCTGTAGTGCAAAGAGGCACGGTAGCACGGTGGTGTTGGGGGGGGGGAGGGCGGGTTGTGAATGCTGATGTTGTGGATGCAGGTCGTCGCGGTAGTAGTGGGTGGTTGTGGAAAGTGTCTTGGAGGAACAGGATGGTGGGGGTGTTGGTGCAAGCAGGCAGGCAACCGTGCAACCCGTGTGTGTGTGTGTGTGTGTGTGTGTGTGTGTGTGTGTGTGTGTGTGTGTGTGTGTGTGTGTGTGTGTGTGTGTGGTGGGGGGGGGGGTGGTTCGTGTCTGTGGCTTGGTGCATGGTGCAGTAGCTGCTCGCACAGCACGTCACGTCACCCCAGTCAGTCAGTGAGGCACCCAATGCACAGACCACGCGTCAAGCATACCTTGGAGGGCAGTGGCAGCTTCATAGAATGGAAGAGGCCAAGGCCAGCAGTGAGCATGCCAACTGGAAGGGTGCACGCCTTATCAAAGGGCATGCCCTCTGGAACATGGAGCACGAGCTCTTCGGGGCACTTGCAGTATTGGGCAAAGCCGCCGCAGTCGCGCGTGCCGAGAGGCGTGAACGCGGCAATCTTGTCGCCCACCTTGAAGCGCTTGACGTCTTGGCCAACGCCAATCACTTCCCCGGCCACATCGCAGCCAAGCACGATGGGGTACTCGTGGGTGAGGAACCCTTGGTCTGCCATTTTCCTGTGAGCAAAGAAGAAGGCGGGGGGGGGAGGGAGGTGTGTGGGTGGTGGGTGGACAGAGTACGAGAAACGTGTGTGTGTGTGTGATGTGGTTGGATGGAGTACAAGTCCAAAGCATACCGCTCGCTGAACATGGGTTACCTTGTTTCTTTGCTTGCTTGCAAGCAAACAGGGGCTTTCAATGGCAGCGTCACCATGTCACGCACGAGCAAAGCACAACGGCGTCAACGAGGCCACAGCAAAGAAGCAAACAAACGAAACACGAGAGATCAAAGGAAGCAAAGATCACTCACGTACGCACCAGTCAACGGGGTTGAGCGCAGTGGCCACCACTTTGATGAGGATGGACGTCTTGTCCTTGTCATCCGCGCCAAGTGTCGGCTTCTTCACATCCTCCTTGAGGTGGAAGTTGGCTGTAGGATGGCCCTTCTTGGCCAGCACAAGCGCCTTCATCGTCATCGTCTCGAGCTGTGTGAGAGCCGCTGGTACCCGTGGAGAGGTGAGGGTGGTCTTGCTTCGCTTCACTTCTTTGCTTGCTTGGTGGGTCGGTTGAAATGGCTCACACCACCACCACCTTCATCATCAACCAGCGGTGTCATGACGCGTGTATTGCTTCTTGTGCGCAGTACTTTATTGCAACAGCAAGACTTGCGAAGATTCGGTAAGATTGTCAAGTATTGTCAAGGCAAGCAAGGCAACCCAATTCAATGTTTGTTGTTGACACACACACACTTTCACACACACTTTCACACACACACGCACACACACTTTCACACACACACACACACACACACACACACACACACACACACACACACACGCACACACACACACACACACACAAACGTGCCACCGCGCGTTCAGCAGTAAGAGCTCTTGATGTTGTGCTGGCGTCTGAGGGTGGCGAGGGAAGGGCGACGGCGGCGAGGCACCGTGCTACAAATCAGGCGACAGCCACGACGGCGACGATAATACAATAGGCGAAACCGCTGCAGGTGCAGCTGCTCCTCGTCAATGCCTTCATCAAGCATTGGGATGTCCAGCCACGGGGCATACTCCTCAAACCACTCCACAGTGATGACTGGCGACGGAGGGGCCGGTGCTGGCGGCGCCCCGGTGCGCTGGCCCGTCAGGCGGCTCACCGAAGGCGCACACAGATGCATCAGCGTCATGACCAGTGGCACCGTGGCAACGACGCCTGTCCCAGTCACAGTGGCGTGGATCACCTGCCGACGCGGCGGGGCCACAGGCTGCGCACGGCCCGTGCCTGCCTCCTGCCACGTGCCTTGCTGTACTCGCATGTGCATGTGCATCCGCACCTGATTCTGGTCTCGGGCCTGTACTCGCACGTGCACCGTGGTGGCGTGGTCGTCACCATCGTCGTCGTCGTCGTCGTCGTCGTTGGCCAAGTCGGAGAGCTGCGCGAGTGCCGTTGGGGATGCAGATTCGCTGCGGGAGATGGCAGAGGAGGACGACACCCGCTGCTGCTCGAGGTCCCGCTGCACCGCCCCCGTGGCTGTTGTGCTGGCGCCGAGCAGGGCAGGGACGGAGTGGGTTGCTGGCATGCGCGGGCGCCCGTCCCCGCCATGGCCAGCAGGCACGTCCTCAAACGAGAACTGTGCCGAAGCTGCCGTGCATGCGTACGTGTGTGAATGTGCGTGAGTGTGTGAATGTGTGAGTGTGTGAGTGTGCAAGTTCATACGCATGTACATGCGTGCTTATGTGAGGTTGGTTGCATGCGTGCATGTATGCAAACCGAGGTGAGGGAAACTCGTGAATGCAGGCAGATGAAGACGGAGCAAGGCTGTGGCAGCGTGCATGAGAGCAAAGGCAGGGCCGAGTGGCCGTAGCAGCACCACCTTGCGTGGGCAGGGAGGTGCGGCTGCGGGTGGGCCTTGGTGGCGGCGGGTTGGCCGGGCGGCGGCCGTTGCCTTGCGTGCTTGCATGCACGTCAGCAGGGGTGCTTGGCTTGGCTTCCACTCGGGGGCTGGATGGCTCAGCGGGGCCCACGCTCGGTGACACGTTCACATCTGCAGCAGGCGACAGCGCACAGGTGACAGGCAGGCGAGAAGCGAACGAGTGAGGAGTGAGAGGGGACAGGGCGAGCAACACAGGTGGGCTGTGTTGTGCGGTGATGCAAAGAAACCGTGAACTGTGGACATGGATGGATGGATATGAGGGTGGTGATGGTGATGTTTGCAAGGTTGCTTGCTTGCAAGCACGCACACCAAGAAAGGCACAGAAACACACACGAGCACTTCACACAACCTTCGTTGGTGCGAGACATGCTTGGTGGTGCTGAAGGGAGAAAAGGAGGAGGCGGAGAAGGGACAAGGGAAGGGAAGGGGGGAGGGGGGCAGCGGGTCGTGCGATGGGATCTGGGCACAGCAGGTGATGGTGGCAGGGCACGGGAGCGACAGTGTGCTTGGCAGACTTGACCACGTTGTGTGTGCGAGAGAGAGGGAAGTGT